GGTTACCTTGGCCACAAAATAGCTCTGCTTAGGTCCTATGTCTCATAAAATCATTCTGCAGTCTCTTACACAATGAATTTACTGCACAACCTTTCTTCTTCCCAGGAATCCTATCTAGTCCCAGGGTCAGTGCTAGACAACTGATGTCCTCCTATTCTTGCTGTCGCTGTAATTCCCCCTCTGCCATAAGCCTGTCTGCACACAGAATTATCTCCTTTCCCTACTTCCCCACAAAGGACAACTCTCGCAGACTCCAAATCCACTTACACTCAGCTGGATCCCCCAGACATGCTAAAAACACCTGTCATAAAGAATTGAATTCGTCCTCTAACATTTATAGCAGTCTCCTCCTGCCTTTAGAATCTAAGAAGAAGGGAAAGAGACACGGAAGTAAAGGAAATGATTTGTGTGTGGGTTGGGGTGTAGAATGGAACAGACTGAAAGATGGGAGAAGGACAATATTTAGCTATTGACTCAAAATAAAGCAAACCCAAGAACCTTTTAAGATTCTTGACTATGCATTACAATCAATTTGTACTTTTTGAATTCTGAATGTGTGTCTAGTTCTATGTCAAGGATAGGGAAAAACTCTATAGAAACAGATACACCTTTTAAGGAACATGATGTTCTAACTTTTTTTTTCCTTTATTGATTTTAGAGAGAGAGGAAGTGAGAGGGAGAGAGAGATAGAAACATCAATGAGAGAGAACACCAGTTGTCCGCCTCCTGCATGCCCCACCCTGGGGATGGGGCCCAAAACCTGGGCATATGTCCTGACCAGGAATCAAACTGATGACCTCTTGGTGCATGGGTGTATGCTCAACCATTGAGCCACACTGGCCAGACAGGAACGTGATGTTCTTTTTTTTTTTTATCCTCACCAGAGGATATTTTTCCTTTTTTTTTTTTTTTTTTTTATGGATAGAGTGGGAGGGAGAGAGAGGAAGGGAGAGAGTGAAGGGACACATCGAGTGGCTGCCACCCGCACGACCAACCAGGGCCGGGGACAAACTGCAACCGAAGTACGTGCCCTTAGCGGGAACCGAACCCTGGTCTCTCCGGACCGCAGGCCAACGCTCTAACCGCTGAGCCAAACTGGCCAGGGCATGATGTTCTTAAAGATCAGGCCATTATCAGTGAAATAATTCAAAGGACCAAAAACAATGTAGAAGTATTGTCATCTGTGACTTTAAGAGCCCCTATCATTTAATACTTTATTTTTGCCGTGTTGGAGCAGATAGCAAGGAAAATTAGCATTTTTTAGTTCTTAAGGGCAGGAGCTGTATCAATTCTTCCAGCACTAATGAGAACAAAAGTCCAGCCAGTTATTTTAAGTAGTAAGTAGCATAAACATAATTAAGCCTACCAAGAAATATGTGACATAGGCAGATATGTTTTTCTTCATTGTCCTTGAGCAGTAAAATTAAAGGTTACCCTTACCTCCCATTACAGGAGAAGGCTTTCAAGGACTTCTGAAAACGTATGTCCTGCTTGGCAGTTTTACTATTTCTCCTTAGGCAAGAGAAGAGCCTGCTCTCGGTGAAGTTGGTAACTGGCATGAGCAAAGGACATTCAAGCTACTGCAGGGGACTGAGTAACTGCCCTTGTTATGCACACTCTAGTCATTCGTTTGGCACCTGGTGTGGACAACAAATTAATGTACAAAGGCTTCGGGTCCCAAACTGGAAGTGTCTCCAGGAGGAATAATTAAGTGAATTAAAAAAACACACTTTGCATTTTTTATGAACTGCTTTGGGTTCCTGGAAATGTCACTTATATAAATATAGTGGATTATGTCACTCTTCAGCACCATTACTTGGATAGAATGCAAGTGTTTTCCCTTAGCCATGACACCATGTCAATACTGCCTAGAAACGTAAAATTACACCATACACCTTTCCATAACCCAAACTAAGCTACTGTCCTTTATCTAATGTCTTTTTTTATATCCAGCTGTCTCCTGGTGAATGACCTCATGATCCACTTGCTCAAGTTAAAAACATGGATATTATCTCATTTCTCACCTCATAGTGTCTCTCAAATCTCTCTGCTTCCCTTCATCCTCACTCGGGTTGCCACCCGAGTTTAGGCCATAGTGATATCTTCGCAGATGAATCCACCAGCCCCATACCTGATCTCATACGTCCAGTGTGATAAGTCTGATTCATCTGCTTCACACTGAAGCCAGAGTGATCTTTCTAAAGCACACTCCCTTGCTTCAGATCCTTTTGATGGACACTTGCAAACGTGCACACATTAAAATTCACTTATACAGTTCTGTGAGTTCTGACACATGCATGGATCTTTGTAGCCACCACCACAGTCAGGATACAGAACAATTAGCTTTCTCTTCAAAACAATGTCCTCATGCTGCCCCTTTTTTGTCAATTTCTCCCCCCAATCCTGACCCTGGACCACAACTGATCTGTTCTTCATCTCTGGTTTTCCCTTTTCCAGGAAGTCATAAATGGAATGATACAGTATGTAACTTTTGACTACTTTTTTTTTTCCACTTATCATAATGCATATCAAATTCATATGAGACATATGCTGAATGTGACATTCCTTGGAATTGCTGAGCCGTATTGCATTGTACCATAAAACTGGTTCACGCTCCCTTCATCTGTTTCCCATAATGGTTGTTAGTATAAAAAACCTCCATTCAGTGTAAGGTAGTTGAAAAATAGAAAGTATCAGATTAATGTCAGCACATGAGGGCACTGAGCACAATGGTTCCAGCCTGCCCTCTCTTCTGTGCTCCACACTTGTGCACTCAAATGCCTCCTGGGCATATCCACTGGGATGCCTCATGGCACCTCAAAAGCAACATGTGCAAACTCCTCCTACTTCGCCAGTCTCTCCCTCTTAATAAATAGCAACTTGTCTACACAGTTGTTCAAATTTAATCCAGAGAACCGTCTTGACAGCTCCTTATATCAAAATACTCACCAATTTCCATTGATTCATTCTCTAAATTATATCTTGAATTGGTGTTATTATCATCTCTTCTCTGCAACAGCCCCCTATGTGTCAGTTTCTATTCCTTCCCTCACTCCAAACCACTCTCCATGGAACAGGGTGAGCTTTGCAAAATATATAGATTTATTTTTTTAAATTTATTTTCATTGGCTTTTTTTGATAGATAAGAAGGGAGAGGGAGATAGAGATAGAAACATCAATGAGAGAGAAACATCAGTTGGCTGTCTCCTGCACACCCCCTACTGGGGATTGAGCCTGCAACCTGGTCATTTGCCTTGACTGGGAATTGAACCAGCAACCTCTTGGTTCATGGGTGATACTCAATCCACTGAGCTACATGGGCCAGGCCAAAATTTATAGATTTCTTAATTAAGTATTAAGATTTCTAAGGGGGTCTATCTATAGACATGTCTATAAGCAAATGTTTTGCTGCTTTATTCAACAGACGGTTATAATTCTGAATCATCCACAATGTTGAATTTTTCTGTGGGCAATTAGATTATATTTAAGGTTGTAGGATAATATGTGCCAATGGGCACTTTTTCAAGATAAACATTTCTTAGAAAATACTAACAGACTTTATGTTGAATTGCAATGGGTTGCTATCTAAATTGTTGTGGATGAATAGGATTATAGTTTCAAGAACAATGACTATAAAAGTAGAAATGTTTTATCCTTCGTCAAGAAGCTATTAACTTATAAGGACATTTTTGTTTTTAAACTATGGAAAAATTTATATTTTAGATAGAATAGATAGATACTAACTTAATATCACATCAAACACATTAGGATTCCAGATACAATGAGTTTCTCTGAAGCTGAACATTCAGGATTGCGGATAGCATATACTCCACTAATGAGAACAAAAAGGGAGGGACATTTGATTGATAATTTCTGGGATTTAAAGTAGTATTTTTTAAAAATATGTTTTTATTGTTTTTTTTTTATAGAGAGAGGAATGGAGAGAGATACAGAAACATCAACGTGAGAGAGGAACATCAGTTGGCTGCCTCCTGCACACCCCCTACCAGGGACCAGCCCGCAACCCGGGCATGTGTCCTGACCAGAAATCAAACCAGGGCCTTTCAGTCCATGGGACAATGCTCAATCCACTGATCCACACTGGCCAGGCTAAAGAGATATTTTTAAGATGGCTTTATATCTCCCCAGCAAGATGCTTATTAATTGCAAATAGAAAAATAATAACTTTATAGTAGGAAAAACTGGCAATTGCCACCTTAACACACGACCGAAGTTAAACATTCACCATTAATGGAACAAATTGCCATCAAGTGCCTCCTGATATGGTGCATGGAGACAAATACATTAATGATTTCTGCCGAAATGCAGACCTCATGGAACATCCCACAAAGGCCCAGTGGTCTGACCTAAGCTCTTTGAAAAATATCAATGTCATAAAACACGAGAAATACAGAAACACTCTTCTAGGATTAAAAAGGCATAACTGAAGGCAACTCATGACCTGGGACCTCCTTTTCCTATGAAGGATTTAAATGACACAAATGGCAAAATATAAATAACGTTTGTCAGCTAGATAATGGTATGCATCAATATTAATCTCCTGATCGTGATCATTGTGTTGTGGTTATCTGAGAAATACGCCTGTTTTAGGAAATACACACTAGTATGTTTAGGAGCAAAGGGGTCTCCTGTCCACACAATCTCAGAGTCAAAGGGGGAAAATTGTGTGTGTGTGTGTGTGTGTGTGTGTGTGTGTGTGTAGGTGGTGAGAGGAAGAGAAAGGGAGAGAGAGAGAAGGATCAAGTACAATGTTTGCATTTGGCTAATCTGGGTAAAGGATAAAAAGATAAATATTTTTTTTGTATTCTTGTAATATTTTACTTTAAATTTGAAATGACATCAAACTAACAATTTAAAAGGAAAATAGATATTACCTATTTTATAATGCTAAAGTCTTTTTAGTGACATAGTGTCTTTGAATTAATATTTTTCCACCCGCGTGAGAAGGATTCTCTTCCTCAGACAAAGGATTATCTCTCAGACTCACGGGGCAGGGGAGACACGATGATCACGAAGGTGGTTTTCCCAGGGCGAGGCTTCTCCATGTGCCCCGGATGTGCTGAGCCCTGTCATTTCCCCGAATGTGGGAAACTCGACCGCACAATTTGTGGTAGTGGGTGACCGCGTTCGTCCTCTCCCCTAAAAAAAAAAAAAGATCGTCTCTCTCCTGCCTCCTTTGTTCAAATGTAATCTCTCTTCAGAGTCTAATGGGATTACATCCTTCCACCCCAACAGGGTGGTCTGTTTTGGTAGCTTTTACAGAGCCATGATTCTATTTGTACAGTTTAACCTTTGATACATATAATATTTTTATATAAAGTTTTTACTTTTAATTTAGTAGAATTATACTGACAGAAAACTGGGCTCCCCTTGACTTTCTCCTAGGAATTTTGCATTTATCGTTAACAAAAGTTGTGTGTTGCTTAACCATGTAATTATGCCTCCCCGTAACAAGGCATGGGGGCCGCATGCTGGAGAGGGGGGTGCAAGGTGGAGAGGATTAGCTTGTGCCCCAATGCTGTTTACAGTGAAGTTAGGACAAGATGTGACAACTCTGTCAAAATACAGATGCCTGTGCGTAAAACAGGGCAGCCCCGAGGCTGAGGACTAATTTACTATTGAATTATGGGCAATGAATGTTGGTTAGAGGTTCAGGCTCCAATACAGGCTGAGGAGGTTTGTGAAGACCCCAATTCCCTCGCAAGGCAGAAGAGCAAGGGTTCTGCAGCCAGATTAACCCGGACCTTGACTCTGCTCTACTGATCTGATGATCCGGGGCAATGTTCCTGACTCTTTTAGCGTAGTTTATTTATCCTTAAAATTAATAAGATGATTTCTACCTTGAAGGGTGTTGTAAAGGGGCAACTTTGGCAAATCACCTCATTCAGACAGGGCACTTTATACATCAAGTGGTTTCAGCTCAGTGCTCACGGCCTTCAAGCTTCCCATGGACTTATTTGGAAAAGGCTATGTTAATAAAAAATGATCAAATCCCTCTCAAAGTTCAAAAATTAGATTTATTAAGAAATGTGGCCCTGGCCAGTTTGGCTCAGCGGTTAGAGCATCGGCCTGTGTATCAGAGAGTCCCGGGTTCGGTTCCTGTTAAGGGCACATGCCTTGGTTGTAGTTTGTCCCCGGCCCCCATTGGGGTCGTGTGGGGGGCAACCACCCAGTGTGTCTCTTTCACATTGATGTTTCTCTTTCTCTCTTTCTCCCACTCTACTTGAAGATAAATGCAAAAATGTCCTCAGGTGAGGATAAACAAAAAAAAAAATTGTGAGTATGTTTTAATATCTCTGATGTAATGAAGGTTTGGATTCCCAGGGAGAAGCTTCCATACTGACTACACTGCTTGCAGGTATTCAGTGACGTGTAATAATTATAATCATTTTTAACTTTTAAATGCTCATTTTTCTTCTTAACGTGAGAATCATCCAGCTTGGGCTGATTTTGTTTCAGCATCTGTAGGACTAAAATGAATAACCAGTCCCAAACCATGGATTGTATGTGTTAAGACACTAAAGGGTAAGGGAGAGTTTTTATAGAAACTCCATCTCATGTGTTCTGCTATGTCCTCCCTCCAACTTTGGACATGACCTTCACTTGTCAGACTTAAGTGCAGTAGTTTTATTTGGCCGTTGAACCTAATTATAATGAGTGAAAGGCTCTAAGACTTATCACAGATGAGGTGATGAGCCTTTTTCAGACATGTTGCCTTCAAATAGACTTTTGTGGCTTAATGTATTTGTGGCACCTAACAGCTGTATGCTACTCCTAGAAACTTCAATCCACGCTGATGCTGGGGCACAGAAAATAAACGGGGGTCAACCGGAGGTTTAAATTATGTATATAATATTTGTGTAAGCATGAAACACTGTCAACAAATACACGGATGCTTTATTATTTACACTTAGCATGGTAAGGAATTAAAATACTATTTTAGATTTGACATCGTTATTTCCAAGGATAAATTCTTCTTACACATGAGTTCAAGTGGTATAGATAGACTGTCTTTTAAACAGCTTTTCAGTGGCATTAATGATTGGTTATTCTTTGTTGATTGAGAACACTTCAAGGTGTTAAAAAAGGCAAAAAAACAATGGAAGAATATAGAGCCATTCCTCAAAGAACAGCTTCTAGTGTTTAAGGGTAAATTAAGGCACTAACATGTGAAAACCCATGGCAATAGTAGAACTTTTGAGGACATACTTGCTTTCTGTGGTTCACAGATATAAAATTAGAGGTGCAGGAGAAGATCTATAAATAAAGAAAGAATTTTAAAGGGTTTTGCTGAGAGAGGTGAGTGTAGAGAGAGGATTTAGAGGAAAGGTAAGATTTATATAGGCTGAGCTGGGGATGATTAACTATTGCCTATTTTTGTGTACATACACTTTGTGTATGTAATATACTACAATTCACTTTGATTAAAAAAGAATAAAATTTAATTTTTAGCACAGTTTTAGGTTGACAGCAAAGTTGAGTGGAAAGTACAGAGAATTTCTATATATTCCCTGTTCACCACCCCTGCCCCGTCCTACACACATAACCTCCATTATAGCCATCCTGATATTTGATACAATCAATAAACCTACATCGATACATCATTATCACTCAAAGTTCATAGTTTACCTTAGGGTTTACTCTTGGTGTTGTAAATTCAGTGGGTTTTGACAAATGTATATTCACATAGATCCATCATTGTAGTGTCATACTGAATAGTTTCAGCCCCCAGAATCCTTTGTGCTCTGCCCATTTGTTCCTCCTTGTCCACATCCTTTGGAAACCAGTGATATTTTTACAGTCTTCTTAGTTTTTACCTTTTTCAGACTATCAGACAGTTGGAATCACACAGTTCAAATTGCCTTCTTTCATTTAGTAATATGTATTTAGGGTTCCTCCATGTCTTTTCTTTTTAATTAAAAAAAAAATTTTACCTGAGGATACTCTTTCCTTTTTATCTTCAGATAGAGTGGGAGGAAGGCAGGGATAGGGAGGGAGGGAGGGAGGGAGGGAGAGAAAGAGAGAGAGAGAGAGAGAGAGAGAGAGAAGGAAAGAAAGAGAGAGAGAGAAACATCGACGTGAAAAAGACACATCAACTGGCTGCCTCCCGCTCGACCCCGAACAGGGCCAGGGACAAACAAAAACCAAGGTATGTGCCCCTGACCAGCATCAGACTCACGACTCTTTGGTCTGCAAGCCAATACCCTACCGCTGAGCCAAGTCAGCCAGGGTTCCTTCATTTCTTTCCATGGCTTGATAGGTCATTTCTTTTTAGCACTGAATAATTTTCCATTGTCTGGATGTATCACTTATTTTTTTAATTTATTTATCTACTGAAGAACATCTTGGTTGATTCTAAATTTTGGCAATTATGAATAAAAATGTTATAAAACACCCACGTATAGGTTTTTTTGTGAACATGTCTTCAGTTTATCTGGGTAAATACTGAGGAGTATGATTGCTGACTAAAAGTATGTTTAGTTTCACCCTGGCCGGTTTGGCACAGTGGTTAGAGCATTGGCCCACATACCAGAGAGTCCCAGGTTCAGGTCCTGCTAAGGGCACGGACCTTGGTTAGTCCCCGGCCCCAGTTGGGGTTGTGTGGGTGGTAACCAGTTGATGTGTCTCTCTCACATCTATGTTTCTCTCTCTCTCTCTCTCCCTCCCTTTCTCCCTCCTGCTTTATCTGAAGATACATGCAAAAATATCCTTGGTGAGGATAAAAAAAAGGAAAAAAAACTGTCTTGTGAAATAGCTTTTTCACTTTGCCTTCCACCTGTAATTAATGAGAGCTCTTGTTCCTTCGCATTCTCACCAGCATTGAGTGTTGTCAGTGCTTTGGATTTTGGCCATTCTATTAGTATGTAATTGTATTTCATTGTTGTCTTTATTTGTATTTACCTGATGACATATGATGTTGAACATCTCATATGCTTACTGACCATCCGTTTGGTGAAGTACCTTATCAGGTCTTTTGTCATTTATTAATCAGGTTGTTCATTTTCTTTGAAGATTTCTTTGTATATTTTGATGATAGTCCTTTATCAGATGTGTCACTTGCAATTATTTTCTCCAAGTCTGTGGTTTGCTTTCTAATTCTTTTGACATTATCTTTCACGGAACAGAAGTTTTTAATTTTAATGAAGTCCAGTTTATCAATATTTTCTTTCATGGATCCTGCCTTTGGTGTTTTACTTAAAAGTTGTCACCATACCCAAGGTCATCTAGGTTTTCTCCCAGGTTATATTCTAGGAATTGTATAGGTTTGGTGTTCTACATCTAGGGCTGTTATCCATTTAGAGTTAATTCTTGTGAAGCATGTAATGATTGAGTCTATATTCATATTTTTGCATGTGAATGTTCATTTGTCTCAGCACCATTTATTGAATAGATTATGTTTGTTTGTTTGTTTTAACTTTTTAATTGTATTGTCTTTGCTTCTTTGTCAAAAATCAGTTAGCTTCATTTATGTGAGTTTATTTCAGGATCTATATTCTGTTTCTTTATGTCTTTGTCTATTCTTCACCAATACTGTGCTATTTTGATTACAGTAGCTTTATAATAAGTCTTGATATTGAGTATGTTAATCATCCAACTTTGTTCTTCTTTAGTATTGTGTTGGCTATTCTGTATCTTTTGCCTCTCCATATAAACTTTAGAATCAGGTTATCATAATCCATATAATAACTTACTATTCTTTTGACATGGATTGCATTGAATCTATAGATCAATTTGGGAAGAACTGAGATCTTGATAATATTGAGTCTTCTTATTCATGAACATGGAATACCTCTCCACTTATTCAGGATTTTTATTTTATACATCAGAATTTCATTCATTCATTCAGCTCTTATACTTATTTTGTTATATTTATACTTAATAAGTTCAATTTTGGGGTGCTAATATAAATGGTAATGTGTTTTTAATTTCAAATTTTACTTGATCATTTTCGGTTGATAGAAATGTGGTGGTCTTTTGTTTATTAACCTTGAATCCTGCAACTTTGCTATAATTGCTTGTTAGTTCCAGGAGTTTGTGTGTTGATTCCTTTGGATTTTCTCCATAGACAATCATGTCATCTGCAAATAAAGACAATTTTATTTCTTTCGTAACAATCTGTATAATATTGATTGCTTTTCT